ACTAAATAAATAAATCCAAAAAGTTCTAATGGATGTTAAGAAGTAAAATAAAAGATAAATAGAAAGTTCTGAAACACTATGAATGCCGAATTTTTTATTTCCATAGATTATACAACTTCTCATGAAGAAGGCAAGGGAAAGAAAGTTTAATTCATCAGAACTTTTTAGAATTCACTGAAAAATCATGTAATAAGTTAAATAGACTCGAATAATATTTTACTTTTTCTTTCGATTCTCAATTGAGAGACTTTTTCGATTTTTTTTCTTTCATAACTTGATCCATGATAACCTTGAATTCTGAAAACTTATTAGTTCCATCGATCTTAAAATAACGATAACAATTCGAGGATTAACATCATCATGAATTTCTTAAAACGTGAAACATGTTAGCAGATTAAGTTCTGACTACTCAGGGATTTTTTTCTCCTACAAAACTTTTATCATGATTATCTGATATTCTTGTCTAATGACATAACCTGAACATGGTGGAAGTTGCAACACTTTTTTTTTATTGTCATCATCATCATTCCTCCACCACTATGAGCACCATCTTCCTCTTTGTTGCTTCTGTAAATTAATGAAAATTTAATCTCTCTCAAAATTGGAACATAATAATAACTGTTACCATGATAAAAAGGTTCGAGGTGAAAAGATGAGGCCAAAAGTTTATAATCAAAGGCTAGGGTTATGATGAATGAACTGAATTTTTCATGATAATCGTTTAATGTGATAAAACTAATTACCAAAAGCAGTGATAATATTATTATGAGTCAGAATCATCTCCTATCTCCCACCATGAGCTCACTCAACTAAACTTTGAAACTATGATAATGACAAAAAAATAAACATTGTAAAAATCAACAACCATGTTATTAGATAATGATAATATTAGTTTACTCATGAAAGGTTCGAGTTTTATAAGGGAAGAGAAAAAGTTCAGACTCGAAAACGTCATTAGTCGTTAAAACTAATAATTCACATGTCAATCATTTCCTGAGTAACGATATTATTAATAATCCTCATCTGTATCATCACCATCATTATTTTCATCATCATCGTAATCCTAATTGGCTTTGTCACTGAATATAACTGAAAACAATGAGGATCAAACTGAATTAAGTTCAACGATTAAACCTCAAGTGATATTAATAATAATCAGTTGATGCTAATGATTGAAAGTCAATGAGGATAATGATGATTATATGAATACCTATTAAGGTGAAATAATTATTATTGTAAGAGAGAGAGAGAGAGAGAGAGAGAGAGAGAGAGAGAGCTGGAGGAACTATTAATATTTTCGTAATAGATAAAAAGGAAAAGGGGAAAAATGATTGATGAAATGGCAGAAAAAGTTCCAATGCTCATTCTAATGATGCTCATCCTTATAATCCAAGGACAGAATCAGAGATGATATTATCATCCTTATCTTCAGCATCAATTGCAATGTTTTGATTACATCATCATCACCATGATGAAAAAATATCAGGAAATAATAATGATGATAGTTTGTACTCCCTAAGGATAAATAATGTTTGGTTTTTTTTTCTTTACTCAAATTCATACTAAACACATACAATGGATAGGAACAAAAAAAATTATCGATAATATTTATCATCTCAATTGTATTCACACGAGAGAGATATACATGATAATAGTAAATAACCAGAGTCGATATATATAATATTTCAGTTAAATGGCTTTTAGGTTGACTGAGTTTCCGTCATATTTTCACCATGTACCTACAATTTCATCAATATAATGACACTAAGAATTGATATCGTCTTTTCAATGATGTTTATAATAATATATTATGAATACTTGTGAAGATAAATTCGTGTTGGAACTTTTTTTCTCGCCATCTTCAATCAATTTCATCTTCTTATTATTTCTTGATGATTCATACTCAGGATATTCCTCAGTATGGTGATGATGATTATTATTATTATTATTATTATAGAATTTAGATCACTTTTATCTCTATCATCTTTGCACTTCCAACAGAATATTTTGTTTATCATCCAATCTCATGGATAAATGAACAAATTAACTGATTCCATTCTGATGACATTGATATTACCGTTTTCATCTGATTGAGATTTGCTTGATTGTTGTTAGTTTATATTCAGGGTAAATTATTGCCTATTTAACTCACTCAAGTTCATTCCATGTGAATCAACATTATACATGTATTACTTTTATTTCTTTGACGATAAAGATGACGGGGGAGAGAGTTTTTTCCTTGCTCTTCAATGATTTAAATATAAGGTGTAAACTGAATTTTTTCATGATGAAACTCATGGGATCAACTGGAATGGACCAGAAATCTCAACAATAACAACAAACTGAATAGAGAATCAACTCTTTTTATCTTTACCTTCAATTCACCCACTCATTTCCTTGATTGTTAACATTAATCCAATTGTTGTTGGACAAAATTTGCGAGTCCAAAAGTTAACATAGAATTGAAAGGAAAACAAATCAAAGCCAATTTCCATCAAAAAAGATACAGGATAAAGATTCAGGATGAAGTTGATCCAATCATGAGAATCTCTGATAGGAATACAGATTCTTTGGATTGATTCATGTTCAATTATCATCATCATAATGTTCATCCTCATGTATTAGCACAATGTAATAGAACAAGAAAAAAAAAGATAAGTTGAGCTTAGATTATGTTGGAACTTTTTTTCTTTCCTCTTTCTATTCTTATTCTTTTACTATTTTATCATGATAACAACTATCGATAAAAATCAATGACTTCATGGTAATGAAATCGAATTGAGCAAATATCAATTTCTGGTTAGGAGTAAATTGCATCTGATCAGATTTTATATTCTAATTTTTTAAATGCCAAATCCTATGGAATAGAAATTAAACAGAATGAATGATTAATCATTGATTGTTTCAAATTAATTTCTTTTCCAATCAAATTTCTAATTGAAGGTTTTATTATTAATTTATTGCTAACAGATCGGGACATTCTTGTAAATTGTTACCTTTCGGATTTCCGTACGATTTAACTGGATTAGGATCGATCAACGAGCCCAATCAGCTGAGACTAATTCTTGGAAATAAACCAAATAACGCTTTCATCTATCTATCGGTAAATCTAACCTGAAAGTGATTAAAATTTCGTTTTAAATTTTTGTTCCTTTTTTGCTTTAGATTTTCATTGGGATTTATGTAATCATTTTCGCCATTTTTTTGGGTATCGCTCTTTCACGAAGTAATCTTGCCCATCATCATCATTCGAGTGGACGTAAGGGTCAACGTAATCGACGGAAGAAGAGGAAGTCCTCAAACAAACAGACGATTGTCAGTTTCGATGAGACGAGTAAATCAGATTCAACAAGAACTGATCTAAACCGATTAACCAATGATCTCTACTTTGTATAAACTATTGTTAAGGTCATTGATTGTTACGCATCAACCAAGATTAAAATCGTTGGGGGAACAATGAAGATTTATCATTGTTACTTATTAATGTTTGTTCACTTCAAGCTAATTAAATGTAAATAACAATAATAACCATAATATCGAATCAGGACCATGATAATATATTACAAATACTATCAACTTACAATATCAAATACCTCATAATGTTAATACAAAAGAGGATAAAAAATTGATCACATTAAAGATTAATGGTAAACACATTTTTGGTAAACGAGAATTTTCAATTAGTGATAGTATCGATGATTATGCTGGGAAAAACTTAACAACTAAGAAATATAATGGCGATATAATACGTGGCATAGGTAGATAAACGGTTTGCTCTTTACAAAATTGATTAGTTTCATTTTCACAAAACTAGATTTCACTACTTGCACCCAAAAATAATTTTTTTCTGCCTTCTAGTAAGGTCACACAGGTTTGACCAAGGACTCGTTCATCAGCACTCGTTTGAACTCCACTTCCGTTAACTGTGGTTGTTGGTTTGTTAGCACTAATTTATAACCTACTGAAATTTACTTCATAAAAGTAGGGGAAAATGTATATCTTCCACCTATACCCCATCTCCATTCCACTGCCATTCCCTCCCCAGTCAGCAAAATCCCACTGTCATTTCCACTCCAGGTTAAAGGTTAACCATTAAAAAAAATTTTCTTCAATTTTTTTGAATTAAAATGGCAGGAAAATTTTTTTAAAATTAATTTAACCCGGAAAACTCGTTTTCTGAGTAGTTTTTTTAATCTCTATCCAATGATTAGCATTGGAGATTTCTTCTAGAACTGTTAACTGATGCCGATTATCGTGAATATATCCGCTGGGAAGGTATCGAAGGTGAATTTAAATTTATCAAACCCGAAATGGTTGCTCAATTGTGGGGACAACGGAAAAACAAACCCACAATGAATTATGATAAACTGTCACGAGCTTTACGTTATTATTATGATGGTGATATGATTGCCTGAGTTAATGGTAAACGTTATGTTTACAAATTTGTCTGCGATCTCAAAAGTTTAATTGGTTATGATGCTCAAGAATTGGATGCCATGGTTATTGATACAATTACGTCGAAATAATCGACTTTATTGACAATAAATTAAAATTTACCATCAATGGTTAATCATTAATTTCACTATCATCATTCATCTTAAAAAGAAAACAAACATATTCTTTAATTGTTTAAACAATCATCTTTTCTACTCCTGGAACAATTATTAATTTAAATATTTCTAACAAAATTATGAAGTCAACTTGATACACACTTGATACACACAACTAATTTATCGTCAATCAGTCAACAATTTGGAAAGAAATGATACCTTTGAGACCTTTTATTTTCTCTCTCATTTTCTGTCGACTACTATTTGTGATGAAAATTATACTATTTATCAACAATCAACTTTCTAATTGCGTAAAATAAAGGGTCAAAATACATGGTGTTAATTACAATTAAACGAAGCAAAAACAAAAGCAAATTCAACTGATTGATCAATTTAGGTCAATCCATTCATAAAATTGGTACTTGGAAATTTCTGATGTCTACAAAACAATTAACACAAATACAATTTAGGCAAAATTTTCATCACGCCAGCACGAATTCCTTCTGTTTCAGCGCGAGAGTTGATGACATCACAGAGTCCTGCGTAAGTTTCTATACGCAATTTTTCTTGATTTCTTCTTATCCAATCTAGTCTCGAACTTTCATGACGACAATAATAATCAACGATTATTTGCTGTGTTAGTTTACCAGAATGTAAAACTGCATTGAACCAATCAAATCTTTCGAAAAGTCTTGAGCAATTGAATTCTCGGATAGTTACTTTATTTCTAACCGATGTTGCCCTACTTTCATTGTGAAACATACCGGTCTTCCATCTATGTTCTCCATTAGACCACAATAATGGATAAGCCAGAGGGTCTAAATGTGGACTCAAATATGAAATATGATTACAGCCGTTTGACGTTTTAGGATGAACTCGTAAACTTCTATTACTTGTCGGTACACCATCAGTTGTCTCGAATATTGCAGCCACATCATAGGAGGATGGAATATTTTCTCTTCTATTGTCTCCGTCTTCACGGTCAAAAAACTCAAAACCAAAATCATCTAAGTCTTTACCTTGCATTCTTGCAGTGATGGTTCTTACTTCATTCAAATGGCGACAAACCAAAGCATAAGGATTATTAGATTCTAAATAGTTGTGAACTGTTTCGAGAGTTAAAGGTTGTAATACTGAGTTTGTACGATGATGCATCCGAATGTTGTTTGCCTGCTCTGTCAAGAAAAAATAACTGCCCTCCCATACTGGTACACTGTAAATTGTTAATTAGATGATAAGTCTCACCTGAAATTTTGAAGAGGTAGTTATCACGACCAGTAGGTTTTTCGATTGAAGCGCCGAAAGTTACAAACGAAAATGATGAGTTATATCTACGTATATTGGTTCTGAAATGATGTGAAGCAGGATCTGTACCGTTTAAAAGAGTCTGCAGTACTGATGGTTATACTGTTCTTTTAACATCTATTTTACCGCTTTGACAACACTGTGTCATATTCGAAAGGAAAAAGCTTGGCTCCACAATAGTTACACTGGCTATTATTGCTCATTATTTATTTATCATGTCTAAAAGCTGGACTTTGATCTCCACACCAAAACGCAAACCAGCGTATATTCTATAGATAAAGTAGAAAGAAGATTAAAATTTATCAAAAAAATCGTATCAGATTCAAATGCACTCACATGTCAACATCATATTCATTAGAATCGAGATGGTCTCCCGTTTCATCGTTCATGTTGAAAGTTTCTTTCAGTTCTTTTTCAATTAGGTTTTTACGTTCGAACATTTTTTCTTTCACTCCTACTGGGATCGATTAAGAAGCTTTCTCACAATGTTTTTACTTCCTGTAAAAAGATTAAACAATTAATAATGGAGCCACCAATCCGATCCGTCTTCTATTTGAGTGAAGGAATTCCTTCGACTAAAACTTGATTTAAATTGAGCAGTTCAGTACTTCAGGCTAGATAGCGATAGTGACAATCACCATAGCAATTATCAAACGGACGCTTCCTTTAAATTTTAGTCTACCTCTTTTTTGTTCTTTCGCTCTTTTTTCTCAGTCTCTTTCTCCTTGCTTTTTCTCTCACTCTCATTCCCACTCTCGCTTTCCAGTCTCTCTTTTCGCATCCTTAACGCGCTCATACGTCACTGCCACTTGCATTATGCATAGTCGTATTTAACACTTTAATTTCAAGCTAAATCAGACAAATTCAATAAATTTTCAACAGAAGTTAGTATAAAATATGTGTATCAAATGTTAGTGGTTTTCACATAGTTTCAGAAAAACTGGAAAACAAAATGCGCGCATTTTTCAAATTAAAATAGATAAATTACTTGCTTTGTAAATGATAGATTAATCTTCTTCATGATTGATATTACCCCCACTTCCCTTCTGGCTTACCCAGAAGCGGAGGTTTTTTACTACTTTCAGTCATTTGATTTATTGTAATTGAAATGATCAATCGATGCTCTTGGTGCCATCTCTCTTTGATAGGATTTTTGATTTATTTAGGATTTTGATAGATTTTGGTTGATCAAAGACATTCATCGATAAGAATAGTTGGCAACGAATTCTCAAGGAATCAATTGAAAATAATATTACGTAATTTTGTTTCAAATTAAAATCAATTTTATAAGATTAGAATTTTCAATTGATTCCCTTTCGGATAAATTGAAAACTAAATCAATATTATTAATCATTGTTAATTAGAAAATTTTAACTTTCTATTCTGTTATCGTTATAAAACTATTGTTATGTTTTTTATTCATAATCTGTTTAATATTTAAGTTAAGATTTTTATAAATTTGATTATAATTGATGATCAAATTAAAAATTTGTCGCCAAAATATGTAACTTTTTCAAGATGATTGTCTTGCCAATCATGACATCACAAATATTTCATCAAATAGGGGACTCATCGCATATATTGCAGGTTATCTTATTCGCAGAATCAAATCTAAAGGCAATCATTGCGACCTATGTTTACCCTCGATTGATTCTGTTAATATTTTACCTGACCATCAGTTCATTTTGTGTAGAAATTATGCTCAAGGTGATAACAATTTCCTCATGTTGCCATCACTTCAATTCATAAACTGCATCATCTCTTGTTGTGAAACTCTTGTTTCATCTGTGCCACCCATCATCAGTGAAGAAGGAATAAAATTTAAACTTCATTCCATCCTTAGATCACAAGACTTTTCATTTGTTCCATCATGTCATTATTCGGAGATTAAAGCAGCATCGATTCGTCATCTCATCAACATGTTCATTGGAAAATTCATGAAAGATCATAAAAGACATCATCTAGCATCAAGAAAAAATAGAAAATCCATCAAAGAAATTCAATTAATTCAATCGACTTCATCAACACAACATTGATCATCTTATTTCATATCATAACTTCATGACACCCACTTGTTCATCATTTATCTGCCATTATTTGATTTTTGTTACATGTTCTCCATGCTTGAAGTTCCATTGTATACACTAATATTCGCTTCATATCTCATTCTTCTCTTTTTGATTCACGTTAAATTAAATTATCTTTTGTTCTTGGGAACTCTTGTTCTTGAACGACTTGTTTATTCTTTCTTAAACTTGTTTGTTCAATAGTTTCTTGTCGTTTCAGATTTCATTGGCTCAAGCTTGTTCAAGTTTAGCAATTCATAAGTAAAGGATCGGGGGTACGGATTGAAGGTTTAATATAAAAATAAAGTTTTTTATAATCAAATCGTCAAATATTTAAGACAAGTACATTTTTACGATCGGTAATCATAATCAGTACGAAAGTCTCAAAGTTACTTTTCTATGAAATATCCTATTCGTTTGTTATTTTATTTAACTTAATCGAATTAATGGTTGGGTTTGATACAAATCTTATAAATTGGATCTTTAAGATCACTTCAAATCAGAACTAATGTGTTTTATTTAATTGATAGATCATCTTAGTATTGATGTAATGTATACTTAATAAAAAGTAGATAAAACCGCACATAATATATGAAACTCGAAATAGAACAACTGCAGAACTTATCAAGACTCAATTGATTCTTAAAATTGTTAAAATGATTAAAACAATTAGATTTGTGTTCTGCACTGAATTTACTATGTTTCTCTTTCTTTTCTCTCTCTCTTTACAAATCTACTAGTGGCTCCACCTCGCGACACCAAAAAAAATGTTGCTTCATAGTTTTTCCTTCCTGTGCTCTCTCTTGGTTTTTACTCTTTGAATCGAATAAAAAATGAAAATTTTAGATAAAAAATTGAGATAAATTCAATCATCATAATGGTCAGCAATTTCGTCAACTTCTATTGAATAATTTAAGTTTTATACTCCAATAAATAAACAAAAACCGTCTTATCGTCGCGAGAAAATACAAATGATATAAGTTTTCGAAAGTTCACTAATCGTCGCAACGATTTGAGAAAGTAACTACTCCATTTGAGTCAACTGTCACAAATTTTAAGAAAAGAATACATTTTATGACTTTTCTCAGCGGGAACAAAGTGTCTTTTTTATTTGCTTATCCGTTACATTTACAAAAAGTGATTCAACCAAAAGAGGATGACTGTAAGCCACCAAAATCAAGCTTCGTACACTTCAAACCAAAGTTGCACAATTATCTGATCGAAATTGATATTAAATTGTTGCTTATCTGTGAATTGATTAGATAACCAGCTCTATTCGTAGCTCTGATTGAAAGAGCCTAACCTTAATCATTTCGTAACCGAAAGATGGCATCATGGAGCTTTGTAGTTGGAATCCATGAATTGCTTAATAATGAGTCGATTCTGTGTGGAAAACAGTAACTTTTATATAAGAGATTTTTCAAGTTAATATAAAGTTTATCACATTACTTGACGAAACTCTTAGTGAATCTGTAAAGTTTTGTTCCCTCAAAGCAACACTATCGGATATTGTCCAAAACAAATAAATCATAATTCATGTTTCATTCAGTTGAAAATGTTTGTTTCATAGGTGATTAAAAAATCTGATCACAATTAAAGGATAACTTGTTTGTGTAAAGTTTTCGATTGTGGATAAAAAATCGTTTGGGTTAACTTTTAATTGTATTATGTGAATATCAACTTGAATCCTTAAATTTGTTTTGTCGAAATCGCAATTAACCTAATACATCCATTGACTTTCATCATCAGGATCAATTATGAAGTTTAACTGGTATATCATAAGAATTGGTTTAATGATAATAGTTTATCTAATCACCAATTCATCAGGTGAGTTTGATGAAGGCTAAATGATAAATATCACTATTGACTTTTAATCAATTGAAATTTTATGTTTACATTTTTATTTTAGGTCTTCGAATTACTAAATTGGAAGTACCACAATCAGTTCCTCTTGGAAAATCAGTTACCCTTAGGTGTCATTATGATCTAACAGGAGATGAACTTTACTCAGTAAAATGGTACAGAGATTATGTTGAATTTTATAGATATCTTCCGTCCGATGAACAGAAATCAGGTCAGACATTCACCCTGAAAGGAGTCCATGTAGATGTAAGTAAGATAATAAAGTTCAGCTCAATACTTTAATTTTAGACCATCAAATTGTTCAGTAATATTTATGAATCAATCTGATGAAATATCAATCATTTCATGATAACATTCAGACTTAAATTCACCAACTTGATGATCAATTGATAATAACTGAAAATCTAAGAAGTAGAGAGAGAGAGAGAGAGAGATAAAAAGTGAATGACAATTGTAATGATGTTGTTTAGATTTACTTTTAGGTGAATGTATTTGGTTCAAGATTCGTGAAAAAATCGTTTACATGGAAGAAAATATCATTAGCTTTTCAATTTAGATTCGAAAACCATTCAGTCTATTAATATGCACGAAATCCTAAAGAGTGTGAGGTGATTTAAATGAGTAGAACTGATGGAAATGTTATCATGAATTTCATCGAGATTTTCAAAAGCAAAAAAAGATAAGAAAATGTTAGAAGAAAAAAAAGTTTCGATTAATATGAAGATATAATAAATCGTTGGACAAAAGTAATCGAACTTGTAATGTGTCCACCACCAGTAAGGTCTCACTTCCCTTCTCGCTTCGAGGCCAAATTCTCATTACTCTTGGAGCCCTAGAAGATTTTACTTTTTCTTAGAAAAATCGAAACTTATATTTGGTCATAGTGTAGGTGAGAATAAACTGAGATTGATAATTTTTTCTTATATTCGGAAAACAAGTGATAGAGGGAGAGAGAGGGAGAGATGCTCATGATGAGAATGAAAGAATATGAATTCTCTGTGATTAAAGTTCGATATGAAATCTATCAACTAGTCCAATGAAAGAATTGAGTCTTTTGCTTCTCATTCATCATGTTATTTTCATGTATCATAAGAAGTTCTGAAAACAAAATTCTGAAAAAAATATCTACAAGTTATTTTTTCCATGAAAGCAACAAGGGAAAATTGAATCATCATGTAATAATAGTTTATGTACAAAACATGATAACATTTCATTCAACATGATAAAAGTTGATGATATCTTGGTGATACATGAAGTCTTTATGTTATTGAAATGAAAATAGAAAAGTTTTTTTTTATAATAATCAATATTATGTCAATATCTCAGTATATATGTTGAGATAATTATTATATCTCAATACACAGGGAATTATAATAATAGATAACAAAAGTCAAGAATAAAAAAATTTGTATTAATTTCATGATTACATCTCAGAGTTTGGATGAAATTTCATGATAACGAATTAACCTTTTCCATTTTCTTGATCAATATTTATTCAATCATTAACGGTACAAATAGTAATATTTTACAATCGATAAGAAATTAATTAGGAGCCAAACAAACAGCGAAACCAATTAAAGCTCAACAATTGAACAAGTAAAATCATGGAAATTCAATTGTTACAAAAAGTTCTGATTTGTATCGATATTTTTATTGGCATTCATTTCATAATAAACCACGATAATCACAAGTTAATGTGATTGACATAATCTTCCTGGTTGATGAGATTTACAAAGATCCATATTCATCAATGAGTAATAATACATTTATCATTATTCTGGATTCATCATGATAATGATGATAAGTACATGATAAAGATGTTGGAAAAGCTTAACCATCTTATCGTGGTGATGATGATAAAAGTATTAATTGAGTGAGTAAATCTAACTGATGTAATGGGCGTTGGTCTTTTCGCCATCATCATTATCCTCATCATCTTGTCTCTGTCTCTCTCTCTTCCAACAAAATACTAATCGCTAATACTTAATTTGTACAGTCGCACAACAAATGCTAAAGAGAGCCGAGTAAAATTGTCCCTGATTATTAGGAATGAAAAAGTTTCAAAACTGGACAGTTGCTTGGTTTTCCCATGTTAAGATGACCAAAGGTATTCTTGTGATGAAAATTAGCTCACATGAACTTGATTGTAATTGTGATAACCTTTTGGATAATGATTTGGATTGCAAAAACTGAATGAATCACTGAATAGTTCATATACTGACCATTAAATGTTAATCGGTATGAAATATTTGAGAGGGTTGACCATTAATTTATTAACTTGACCATTAACATTATTGTTATATTACTTAAACCTAAAGACTTAAACTAATCATCTTGTTATTTCTTGACCATTATTATTAGATTGTAATACTTATCATTATTATGATTACATGATTTCCATCATGAGTAATGAATCAGACTCAAGTTCAATTTACTCCCAGTAGATTTTATCTCTTTTTTTGCTTTCAACACTTAAGATTAATTAACAGTAAATCCAATTGAAAGTAAGAAAAAGGTTTATAATTAGCAATCTAATTAGATTATTGTCTAAATTGTTGATTAACTTATTTATTGTCAACTGATTATCAATTGATTACAATTTACATGTTCATGTATCATTTTGTGTACACATTATAATGTGATAAATTCATGAAAACCTTTGAATACTAATCATGAAATTAATTATACTGTTAGTTAAATGTTGACAACATGTTAATTCATATTCCATCATGATAGTTAATGAATTAATTAATTTGGAAGGTGCAATAAATTCTGATTATTTGATAGAATTGGGATAAGTTGTGATGAAATTTTCGAAAAAAAAATTCTAAATTAATTGATAGCTCACAAATTTCTCTGAGAGTTCCAAGTATTTTTTTCTTGTCTTTTTAAATTTCGTCTACGAACTTAGTCTTGAATCAGAACTTTTTATAAATACAAGAAGCACTTGCAATATTTTCTTTTCTATTTTTTTTCAGCTATTTTGTCAGAGCTTTCGAACCCTTAAGTTGAATTTGAATCGAACTTAAAATTGAAACTTAAAACGCAACATATTCGAAATGAATAGAACTTTTTTTTTCTTTAAAATTTAAAGATTCTCTTTTTCTCTTCAATCGGGAAGCTGATATATTATTCCAGAATTTGCAGAATTAAATCTCAAGAGAGACTCAGAAAGAACTGATGAACTTTTCTGTTCATCTGGTTTACCTTTCATTCCCTTAGCATCATCTCTTGTTTCAGCCCATTCAGCATCATGAGAATCCTGTAAATCTAAAGCTATATCTAATTCATCCTGAATCAGATAAATTTGATAATGATGACAATAAAAATAGATGATAGATAAATGATGAGGAAGAGACAAAAAATGTAATAAATTTCTTTCCCATTTCCGTTTCACAGCAGAAACAATAACAACTATTAACTGGAAAACTTATCCGAATGTGATACAGAAAAAAAAAGATTGATGGAGATACAAAAAAAGTAAAGATGATGATAGCCTAAAGGCAATTAGGATAAATATTGAGCATCAACAAGGAAAAATCAAAAGATGATGATAAATTTTGCGAGAAACTTGAACAAAAATCCACTCCCAGTGTGGAAGTGGAAACAAAATATCATGAGAATCAGCATCAAACAGGTTAACAAGAATACGCTGAAAGTTAATAGCTAAAGACAATCGAAAACTCTGATAACAACAATACTGATCATCGTCATGATAATAACCAAGCTGATTAAACTACCAATCAATAAACTAATAAGATTGCTACAAGAAAAGCAGAACTTAATAGCTCACTAGTCTTTTAATTGTCTACAAGGAAAAGTGAAAGTTTAAGATAACAATGAGTTGATTAAAATAATATTGGTGATAAAACTGTCAACAGATTATCATGGAAATGAGGATTTGAAAGGTGAATCAGTAAATCATCCAGTCAATTTGAATGCAATTAACTCTGTTTATCTACAAACCATTAAGTGCTGTTAACCTTTTACACCATCAGATTAATGGGGAAACAATAGACTTTGATTTCAATCATAATGATAATAACAAGGAAACTCATGGTTAAACTCATGAACTTTTAATGTAATCAGAACTTTTTTTTCCTTCGAAAACAAAAGGTTATAACATTTTCTTCATTTGTACCGATTTTCCGTCTCTCAGATGAATATGTGAGATTAGGAATCGCTATGAGAAAGTGAGAATCTAAAATATTACGAATGAAAATCGATGATGATGAATTGAGGAAGAAAAAAAAAGTTCTGACAGGAAAAACATTCTATTTGTTGAATCATAAAATTCATATGCAAATGACTGAGAAGAACAAAAAAAATATATATTATATTCAATTTAATGATGATGATGAAGTTAATGAGCCTCATGATCTGAATTCTGAAAATTCTGTTACCTCTCAAGTCTATTCTGAATACAATTCGGTATTTATTATGATAAAAAAATTGAATTCATTTCTCATGTAAATAATAGTACTAATAAGTGACCATCTAATTATTTAATTATCTAATTTAAAATCGATTGTAAATCGTAATCATGATAAATCAACTGATACAATCTCTAACTGTCAAACTGTTTCCATTATCATGTCACCATTATTAAGTTGATTTTATGTGTTGGTTTTATGTTGAAAAAGGTAGAAAAAAATAAGTTCAAATATAATAATAGTTCAGTTCATTAACATGGATTGAGTTTTTATCATGTTATTTAACATTGAACAGTCATTATCTTCATTATCAACATATATAACATGTTATTAACATCATCATGAAATTATCCTGAAAGCTGAGCAAACATCATGTACATGTAATCATATCATTATTTAAAATTGGTCAGTAACTTTTACCATTATCTAAATTTTCCAAACTAATGTCCATTTATTGGTCATTTTAAGATTTAAATTAAGTCAATAGGATTAAATTAATGGTCAATTTGATTTTTAAATTTCGTGTGTGTGAATCTCACATGGAGAAAACTGATAATAAAAAAAGTTCTGAATAAAATTATTCTTCATTTGCATTGATTGTTATTCAATTTTCTACCAGAATTTGAAAGTCCCATGGAAATGATGAGAAATACAAATAACTAATTCTGAGGAATCGAAGTCTATTTTATTAGTAGCAAATGTATTAGTCGATAGCGTGTCCAGTTTGATGGTCATCTTCGTAGTGGTTGATATTTTGATTGATATTTTCTCGTGAATTTCATCATAGTTATTTTCATCATTTTCTTTCTCTCTTCTTCCAATCCTCGAAATAGTTAACACGTTCATCAGCTAAACACGTTTTCTTAACCAAGACTGAGCTCACATCGGAGGGACACTATGCATGTGAGGTGTCCACTGAAGGTCCATCTTTCAGTACCGTTCGAGCCGAAAGACAAATGAAAGTTTATGGTAAGTAGAGAAGGAGATTTAAAAAAATCAAATAAAACCTTATTAAAATCGCATATAAATCATATGAGATTACCATTCAAACTAATATTAAATTGTCATGATGCTGAACATACATTGAAATGTCAAGTTTATTATATTGTTTGTTATTATTATCATGAAAACAAATGGTCTTACTAGTGATAGCCAGTTGACCATTAGGTTCATTTCAAGAAATCCAATTGAAAATCGAGAGTTTAAATTATCCGGAACCAAAACAATCTAATTTAAAACCTTAATTAATCAAAGCTAACACAGAATCAGCACAGAATTAAATTGATTCCCTTTTACAATTAGATAATTGACATGAAAATATTATCATTTAAATTGATTGTTTCCGTTTCTTAGTTTTAGTGTAGGTGAACTGCTCTTGATAAGTGAATTCTCAAATCTATCTTATTATCAACAATTGATAGCAAATCGACAAGGATTTTTTGACAATTCAACAATGTTATTGAAGTTAAGGATAGTTGAAATCATTTGCTTACAAGAATCCAAATGTATAATTGTAAAAGCTTCTGAGCATATAAATATTGACGTTTCAAAATCATTAGCAGGTAAAACATGATTAAGTTGAATTTTTAACAGCATTTCCTTTATTTTTTTTCTCGGCTCAGTATTACCTAAAGAAGGATTATCCATTGAAGGTACTGAGCCAGTTTATGGTATGGAAAATTTTATCAATCTTACCTGTATAGCAAATCCATCTTATCCATCCCAGATTTTATCTTGGTATATAAATGAACAAAAGGTTCGTGCTACTATTACATATTATAGTATTACAAAAAAGAACTGAGTTCTAATTATATGTTTAATTACCTTCTCTCAGGCCTTACCCCATCAATTGATTCATTATGAACCTGAAAGAGACTCTACTGGTCTTGACGCTACTCGACTCGGACTTTACTTTGAGGCGGTCAGTAGTTATTTTCTTCGAGGTTCACTTAAGCTGAGATGCACTTCAACGATAATATTGGTGTATAGATACGAGTCTTCGATAACTTTAAGTGGTGGAACTCCAAAGAATCGAACTTTCAATGGACATTATACTTGGAATGAAGGTAAAATTTCAGCGAATTCAGATTTTACAAAAAGTTGGCTTGATTATCGTTTCATTGTCTACAGATCGCTTATATCAGCGTGAGCCTGAAAGTCCGATTATTGAAGGTGGTAAAGATAAATACAAAGTGGGTTCATTAATGGATCTAAATTGTACCACTCAATCAGAGTCTCACCTTGAATGGTTCATTAAAAATAAACCGGTGAGTATATTAAATAGTATTAACATTATCTAGCATATTATTTCAATATCATTCATGAACTTTAACCCTCATGAGAGTGATATTATCAGCCCACACCTTTACTACAATCAAATTGAATCCCTATTAATTTATTTAGCATATTTCATCTGAATATGCTACAAGATAGTGATATCAAGTACTTATTGATAGCAATTGAGAATCAATATTCATCATGTTATATCAACATGGTTAAGAAATTCAATCCGAACTAAGAATATCATTTGGAGGCAGTTTTATAATAGTGGTGGAAATACAGGGAAAATACTTTTTCCAAGTTTTAACTAGTTCTTTTTCTGGATAACTTTTTATCTTTAATATTTAGACCTCAGGTTCTCAAGTTATCGTACCTTAATTTTGAGATCATTCATCGACTTTTATTAATATTTACTCTTTCATCTGTTCGATGGTGACACTCAATTTAACTTTGGCAGTTTCATCGGTTCATGATGGAATTCAATCTCTTCTGAGAGATTTAGACTCAGGCCTCAATACCAAAGATAAGAAAAGTTATTTAGAACAA